CTGGATGAAAATTATCCCATAATTATGCTCTCATCTTGCTCCATTTTGCTCCTCTAATTTCGATTTTTGCTCCATTACAGTGGGAGAGACTATGTGGCCTATTAGGGGGGGGGGGCTGAATTAACGCTAGCCCCCCCAGCGAAAATTCAGAAATTTGATCATGCTCATTTTGTTCTTCGAGTTTTGCTCCATTTTGCTCCACTATCAGCGAGTTTTGCTCCATTACCAGGAGAGACCTACAGAGCTCCCAAGAATCTCTCCCAGCCCCCCCCAGTGAAAATTCTGAAATTTGATCATGCTCATTTTTTTCTCCGAGTTTTGCTCCATGATCGGCGAGTTTTGCTCCATTACCAGAAAGACCTACAGAGCTCCCAAGAATCTCTCCTAGTTCCCCCTCTCTCCTAGTGAAAATTTTTTAAATTTGAACATGTTCATTTTGTTCTCAAATTTCAGAATTTTCACTGGGGGGGGGGGGGCGCTGGGAGAGATTCTTGGGAGCTCTGTAGGTTTCTCCTGGTAATGGAGCAAAATTCGCCGATAGTGGAGCAAAATTGAGCAAAATGCGGAGAACAAAATGAGCATGATCAAATTTCAAATTTAATTTTCACTGGGGGGGCTAGGAAATTTTCTAGATAGGTGGCCTTTTTTCAAGCATCTCAAACATGCTCCTTTTTCATTATTTATCCTTTTTCTATCATTCAGCAGTATTTTCTGTGCTTTGAAACATGCTGCACGCACATGTTTGATAATTTCAACCCGATCCTAACGTACCTAATTAGGCTTGAAATAAAGCCAATTAAATCCTCTACAAATCCTTAGTAAATAATTTCAATGCAGCTTGAAATACTTAGTTTTTAGCTGGAAACATTCGAAATTGTATGTTCTGTTGTCAGTTTTTAGAACATTCTACAAGTGACTTGCATAGAAAACTCTTCAAAAGTGTAGAGGAAACTTTCCTCGTTTGCTTCGTAAATTTAAGCAAAGAAAGAAACTTCAATAAAAGTTGCAAATTCTAACATTAAATTTGGATTAACACAATGGCCTTAGTCAAAAAATATTGAGAAATCAAAAGCAGTAATCATTTTATGAATGGCAGGTAGATAAAAGGTTTTTATCTGAAATTCATAGAAAAAATAATCAAATCACCTATTTCCTGAAGAAAAACTCAATCAGTACCTATTTATTTCTGCATCTATAATTTAACATTGTTGAACCTTTCAAACATGTTAAAAACCTTATAGAAATGACCTGAATCAACAAATAAAATCTAAATTAAAATTTGCATATTTCTTAGTACCAACAGATAATTCGGGTACCTCTACTTGCAAGTACTCTTATCATTAACACAAAACTGCTCTGGTTTTTATATTCCATTCAGTTTAACGCAAATGTTCCTAGTGTTAAGGTGCTTTATTTATCTCCAACTTTCTCTCTTCAAGGGGTGCAAATTCCTAGAAAAGTGCAATAAATGTGTAGTGAAAAAGTGACAAAACATCTTCAAATTTGTGATGATAATGCGATTGGAGGGAGCCAAGGGACAGTTCAGGCTAAAATATAAGAAACCGGTCGAGATCAAGACGATCAAGGAGTACAATCGACTGAAAAGGTTAGAAAATTATTGTTGATTTGAAACAAAATAAAACCGTTTATACAAACCAACTGTAAATTCCCTTTTAAGCTAAAAATTTCTCGTGTGTGTGTGTGTGTAAAGATGACTATCTTATGCGCCAGGTAGTGGAACCTTTTTTCGTAAAATATAATTAAATATACGCCGGGTACCGCCTCTTCTCGTCGATGGTAGTACCGGTTTTCTAGAAACTTACCACCATAAATTTCGGTCGGGTGAATTTATGGGTTGAAGAAATTAAGAATTTTCAACGTCAGAAAATTAATTATGAAAATGGCGTCGGTTTTGTAATTCGATGAGAAACATCCGGATTAAATTCGATATCGCGTTTCTTCGCTATATAAGGCGGAAGGAAGTCTCTTATAATGGTTGAAAGGTTTGCATTTTATGTGAAGTACTTTGAAGCATGAATCAGTTCATATTTTAACATTATCTGCACCAATTGTCTGATAAATTCAGACGTTTTCTAGAAATTTCAGACAAACGATAGGTAATTTTTTAACTTTGAGAAATCAAAGTTGGTTTGGCTAGTAAATTAGGACTCTGCCTTGAAATCTGAAGAATGTTTTTCCATAAATTTTGAGACTTTCTTGCTGATTCAAGACACTCTAGTACAATTATTATTCACCTTTTCACATTCATTTGATAACTAAGACAATAATGCTCGAAAATTTAAGACACTCGTCTGATTTTTGTCTTTCTTTAATACTTCAAAACGTCAGAGGAAATTGAAAATAGTCCTCCTGACCTTCTGTTTTAAGACGGTCGTTATAAGTTATTGTATAGATAGAAATTCTTGTAAAATTGCCTTTGAAGGTTCCTGAAAAATACTTTGAGCCATCCCCAGCAATTTGAAAGTTTCAGAATTTATTAATTAGAGTTTTTTCATGATACTTGACAAATGGGAGTTGATACGAAACTCACAATTAAAGTTGCGAATTTTTTTACTCATTGAAAATCATTAAATGCCTGAAAAATCGCCTTTGAAGGTTCCTAAAAAATACTTTGAACCTTCCCAGCAATGTGAAACTTTCAGGATTTATTATTTAGAGTTTTTTCATGATACAAAACAAATTGGAAGTTGATATGAAACTTACAACTAAAGTTGCGATTTTTTTTCCTCATTGAAAATCATTAAATTCCTGAAAAATCGCCTTTGAAGGTTCCTGAAAAATACTTTGAGCCATCCCAGGAATGTGAAACTTTCAGGATTTATTGATTAGAGTTTTTTCATGATAAAAAACAAATTGTAAGTTGATATGAAACTTGCAACTGAAGTTACGAATTTTTTTATTCATTAATTCCTGAGAAAATCATGAAATTCCTGTAAAATCGCTTTTGAAGGTTCCTGAAAAATACTTTCAGCCATCCCATCAATGTAACACTTTCAGGATTTATTAATTGGAGTTTTTTCATGATAAAAAACAAATTGGAAATTGATATGAAACTTGCAACTGAAGTTACGAATTTTTTTATTCATTAATTCCTGAGAAAATCATGAAATTCCTGTAAAATCGCTTTTGAAGGTTCCTGAAAAATACTTTCAGCCATCCCATCAATGTGACATTTTCAGGATTTATTAATTGGAGTTTTTTCATGATACAAAACAGATTGGAAGTTGATATGAAACTCGCAACTGAAGTTACGAATTTTTTTATTCATTAATTCCTGGAAAAATCATCAAATTCCTGTAAAATCGCCTTTGAAGGTTCCTGAAAAATACTTTGAGCCATCCCATCAATGTGACATTTTCAGGATTTATTAATTGGAGTTTTTTCATGATACAAAACAAATGGGAAGTTGATATGAAACTCACAACTAAAGTTGCGAATTTTTTAACCCATTGATTCCCGAGAAAATCATAAAATTCCTGTGAAATCGTCTTTGAAAGTTTCTGAAAAATACTTTGAGTTATCCCATCAATGTGACACTTTCAGGATTCATGAATTGGAGTTTTTTCATGATACAAAACAAATTGGAAGTTGATATGAAACTTGCAACTGAAGTTACGAATTTTTTTATTCATTAATTCCTAATAAAATCATCAAATTCCTGAGAAAATCGCCTTTGAAGGTTCCTGAAAAATACTTTGAGTCATCCCATCAATGTGAAACTTTCAGGATTTATTGATTAGAGTTTTTTTTATGGTACAAAACAAATTTGAAGTTGATATGAAACTCACAACTAAAGTTGCGAATTTTTTTACCCATTGATTCTCGAGAAAATCATAAAATTCCTGTGAAATCGTCTTTGAAGGTTCCTGAAAAATACTTTGAGCCATTCCATCAATGTGACACTTTCAGGATTTATTAATTGGAGTTTTTTCATGATACAAAACAAATTGGAAGTTGATATGAAACTCACAATTAAACTTGCCTAATTTTTTCAACTCAGAAGACAACTTCTACCCTAATAATTAAAATTCGAAACGTTGCCTAACTGTTGATTTTTTCGGAAAAGTTTTCCACGTGATCCAAGAGCCAGGAATAATTAAAATTTGAACTTCAAGCTGTCAAGAAAAACTTTCCAAGTGAATCCAAGAGCCGGGAATAATTAAAATTTGAGTTACCAACCAATTCTTGATTGCTTCAAAAACTTTTTCAAGTAGGTAAATCAAAGTACCTATTGCCTAATAGAAGAGACTCTAATCTATGAATTTTGAAACTTTAAAGTTCCTATAATATCTAGAAGATCCTCAAAAGCTATTTCAAGCCATCAAAAGTATTTTGTATTAAGAAATTGGACACGATGTTCTAAACCCCTATATATTTTATACGAAGCTGAAAACTTTTCGAATAAAATTGGGGAACTTTGACAAAATTTATAGCTCTAATTTTGGGTAATTTCTTATGCCTGGGTGGGGACAAATTTATATCTCAATTGAGCGTGGAATTAAAAAAGAAACTTTAGAGTTTCTGGATTAAATAAACACATACCGAGTGTATAATCTCCCAACCGGACTAAATTTAATAAAGCTCCAACTAACTATAGTGGCCCTTTTTTCCCAATCTCCTCGAAAATCCTCTCCCCCTTATTTTCGAGGGCCGATATCTCCCCCTAGTAGCTCTAGCGTTGCGTAAAAACGGGAGAAAAAAAAAATCCACTATTCCATTCCCGGGAGGCGAAAATGTAATAATTGCATTTCGGGCCTCAAAGTCACGTTCCTATTACCAGGAGAGGGTGTAGAGGCGTGTCGAGAATTTTTCAAGTTTTATATGATTGCATTATGTAAAAAAATGGAAAACTTTTTGATTTTAAAATGATGATGGTATTATCATATTAATGATGCATTATTCATGGATGTCGTTGTACCAAGAGGGAAACAAAAATCTTGATTAGATGTTAAAATTCATGGAAAATTCTTTATTTGCAGATCCCAACACTACGACAGCCAACAGCAACAACAACAGCAACATCAACAGCAACAACAAGTTGAAAGTGGTCAGCAACACAAGCAGCCTTTGAAAGATACGACAAATACTCCGCCCAAACAGAAGATTAATAACAACGAAGAGGGACAGCCCAACAATCAGGAGCCATCTTCTACACAGGACAGTGATAGCAGTAATCATCATCAACAAGGTGAATTTTTGATGATATTTGAATTTATTTAACTTTCACAACATTCACTATTCGTCTATTAATTGAAGTTTGAATAGCATTTAAAATGGAGTTTTGCATTTTTGGCCTGAAAAATTTTGATTTGCTTCACATAATCGCCCATAACTCAATTGATATTCTACAAATTCTAATGTATATCACAATATCATTTTTCAAAAACACAGTTCAAAGCGTATTCAAGTTAATTTGTTGCGCATTTTTTAAATTTTTGAAATACATTTGGATCTTCGAAAGTTGCTGAACTTGCACATCTAACACCAAAATTTGAAAAATATAATAATCAACATACACATTTGGGTTCTAATTTAAATTTTATCATGGCTCCAAGAAAATCAAAAGGTAAGGACAGGTTAGAAGAAGAGGAGATCCTAGAAGATAAAATCAGAAAGTGGGCTAAATATTTCAACTTAGCAAAACATGATGTTAATGAAGCAACAATAATTGAAATTGAGTTGAAGTTGAGGCATATAGAAACACGGTTATTATCAAACCTTATACTTACATCAATTTCATCTTGAAGGCTTAGATCCTGATAAATTCACACAAAATGACCAAAATAATGAATTTGAAACATTATATTTTAGAACAATTTCTTTCAATACAAATTGCTTTAAGTAATGATCAGCAAATCATTAGTCAAAATATTTCTCATCATTCAACACCTGCTCACGTAATGTCTTCACAAGGTTCGGTTCCAAACGGACGACCAAGTACCTACCAAATTGCCTATCATTGAACTGCCAAAGTTTTCTGGTCAAATACAGGTGGCTAGAATTTAGGGATCTCTATAGGTACTTCTTTAGTACACAAAAATTCTTACCTAGCATCAATTGAAAAATTTCAGTATTTAAAAGCAACTTTAGAAGGTGCTGCAGCACAATAAATCCAGGCTATTAATATTACAAATGAAAACTATAATTCAGCTTGGGAAATACTTTGTCTAAGATTTAAAAACAAAAGATTGATGGGTGCATAATCACCTTAAGTCTCTATTTAACATTCGTGACACAAAATCTGATTCGCAATTTAGTTGATAATATATTTCAAAAAACATGAGGTTGTTCAATAATCTAGGCATTGTAACAGACTTTTGAGATCCTTTAATCATCTATTTTTGGTCACAAGATGCTGACTCCATCAGGGGATGCAATCAAACAAGTTTTGCTGAAGAACTTCCATCTTTAGCAGAATTGTCTTCTTGTTATCCCGTGCTGACTTCTTAGACAGAGTTGCAATGCATAGGGGCAAACCAAGAAAAACCTTCTATATCAGTGAGCCATAAAATTCTCAGATTTCGAGTTTATGCTGCTTTTACTGCAAGCAACAACATGCTATATATCATTGTACCAAATTTCTCAATCTTCCCATCGATCAGGGATGGTCGAGAATTCATGCATTGAAATTATGTCCAATTGTTTACGCAATGGTCACAAACCCGACAAATGTCAAGGTCAGGCTACCTTATAATTCAACCAAAAGTCAAATTTTATTAGCCCCAGCAGTGGTTTAAATGTTCGATGTGCATGGCAAAAAGCATTTTTGTAGAGCTCTCCTGGATAATGTTTTAATGTCTAATTTTATGTCTCAAAACTTTGTTAATAATTTGGGCATTAAACAAAATAAGATTCAGTCCTCAATAATAGGAATTAGTCTCGCATTGTCCAGCATTGACAAATCTTGTAAGATCAAATGTAAATCATCTTACAGTGACGTCAATATTTCATTAGATGGCCTGATTTTTCCACATATTACATGATGATCTACCTAATTCATATTTTTATCCAAGTTTCTTAAATATGTCATGTCAATTAGCTGATCCAGCATTTTCTGAGCTCAAGCATATTGACCAACTTATTGGTGTTAAAATATTTTGGGATCTTATTTCATCAGAACGTATTTCATTAGGCTCTGACAAGCCTGTGTTGCAGAGCAGCAAGTTGGGTCGGTTAATATCAGGTCCCATAGGAATTTCTATAAGGCTTGTGTCATATTTCAAAAACCATAGACATTCAAAGTCAGTTGCAAAAGTTTTGGGAAATTGAAGAGGTTACGACTTTATCACCAATTCTTTCCGAAGAGGAATTGTTAGCAGAAAAACATTTCACAGAAAATGTTGAGCGGAATTCAGACGGTAGATTTATTATAGGAATTTCACTCAAGGAGTCTCCAGAAGTTTTGGATGAGACCAAAATTCAAGCTTTAAATCAGTTCTTAGCCTTAGAGCGAAGGTTAGCTAAAAATTCAAAATTAAAGGAAATGTATCACGAATTTATGTCAGAATATCAAAGTTTAAATCATGTGTCCCCATTCACAATTTCCAATAATCAAACTTGCTATTTTTCTCCTCACCGTGGTGTGTTACGTGAAGAGAGTCAAACAACTAAACTTAGAGTTGTTTTCAATAGTTCTCTTCCCAGTTCTACTGGTTTATCATATAATTCCATTCAAATGATAGGGCCAGTAGTGCAAGATGATTTGTCTAGGAAAATTGTCGATTTTCAAAAAAAAAATCCTACCCAAAAGAACTTTTCAGGGATGATAGGGGGAGGGTGGGCGATCATAAAACCGAAAATATCAAACATTCACCCCTCTGGCGTTTTGCGCTATAGGGGTTGAAAGTGCGCCATTGGCGATTACTTGGTACCTATTGATTTTACAAAAAAATGTTTCAAATAAAAGATGTGCAACATTATTTGATCTACAATGTTTATCTAAAGACTTTTTTGATTAAGGGCCGTCTGTGGTCATAATGGCCGTTTGAAATTTTATAATGAAAATGAAAAATTTTAACCAACGTGAAAAAATTTTCTACAACTCGTACAACATTTTTGCATCATGAAGTTTTTACTCACCCCCTGCCGTTTTTCAATAGGGGTAGTTTAAAGTTTTTTTATTTTTTTACAAAAAAAATTTCTTAATAAAAGTTTTATAAGATGACATTTCCTACAATTTTCCCTAATCAACTTTTTTTGTAACTCACCCCCATTCAGCGGGGGGGCACTTCCCTCGGGAAAATTTTAGTTTTTAGGGGTATATATTAATTTTTGTTTTCTTTTCTCGCCTTTAGTGCATATAAAAAGTTGCAATTAACATTGTATTAAAAGGAATTTTTTTTTCACCACCTTTTTGTTTTTAGGGGTAGTTCGCCTATTTTCAACTTTACAAAAAAAATTTACTAAGAAAACTTGTTCATTTTATTATTTTGAGCAACTTTTTTCTATAACTTTTTTTTGTAAAGTTGAAAATAGGCGAACTACCCCTAAAAACAAAAAGGTGGTGAAAAAAAAATCCTTTTAATACAATGTTAATTGCAACTTTTTATATGCACTGAAGGCGAGAAAGGAAAAAAAAAATTAATGTATACCCCTAAAAACTAAAATTTCCCCGAGGGAAGTGCCCCCCCGCTGAACGGGGGTGAGTTACAAAAAAAGTTGATTAGGGAAAATTGTAGGAAATGTCATCTTATAAAACTTTTATTAAGAACATTTTTTTGTAAAAAAATAAAAAAACTTTAAACTACCCCTATTGAAAAACGGCAGGGGGTGAGTAAAAACTTCATAAAGCAAAAATGTTGTATGAGTTGTAGAAAATTTTTTCACGTTGGTTAAAATTTTTCATTTTCATTATAAAATTTCAAACGGCCCTTATGACCACAGACGGCCCTTAATCAAAAAAGTCTTCAGATAAACATTGTAGATCAAATAATGTTGCACATCTTTTATTTGAAACATTTTTTTGTAAAATCAATAGGTACCAAGTAATCGCCAATGGCCCACTTTCAACCCCTATAGCGCAAAACGCCAGAGGGGTGAATGTTTGATATTTTCGGTTTTATGATCACCCACCCGTCCCCTATCATCCCTGAAAAGTTCATTTGGGTAGGAATTTTTTTTTGCAATACATGTATTTTTCGACTATTGTCCTAGACATACGTTTTTTTCAGCAGATATTTGTAAAATGTACAGGCCAATACAAATCAAGAAAGAGTTTCGCCCATTACAACTAATTTTGTGGCGAGCTGATTCTCAGAACGATTTACAAGTCTGCTTTTTAGACAGTGTCACCTATGGTACGGCCAATGCTCCTTTTTTAGTTACACGATGTCTCAAACAGTTGACGTTAGATAATATTTCGATAAATTCTCGTGCTTCAATTATTATTAGTAAAGATTTTTTCGTGGATGATTTACGCTCGGGGTCAGACTCCATTCATGAAGCCTCTCAAATGTGTGAGGAAATTTCATCAATTTTAGGATCAGCATTGCTTACGCAAATGGAGGTCTAACAGCAGAGAGCTTTTATCAAAATTATCATATGATAATTGTACTCAGGACTAATTTTTTGGATCTTTGGAAATAAGCAAAACATTAGGTATACTTTCGTCTTGTAAATCAGAAAATCTTTTATTTCGCATCACTCTTCCATCCAAGGTCAGACAAGTCTTTGAGCCTCTTGGTCTTCTGAGTCCTGTTGTTATCAAAGCAAAAATACTTCTTCAAGTTTTGTGGTTGTCAAAACTTTCTTGGGACGACCCTGTTCCATTTGACATAGCTAAAAGATGGTTAAGTTTTCAGATCTTAGCTCTTTCAATTAAATACTTCACAAATAACAAAATCCAATCACAGTTCAACTTCATGGGTTTTAGGATGCTTCAAAAACTGCGCATGTACTTATGTCCGAACTATGGACGAAGACAACCAAGTTCGTGTTGAACTTCTTACCTCCAAAATTAGGGTAGCTAGCATCTCTCAAGTCGTTAAGCATTCCAAGATTGGAATTGTGTGGAATTTTACTTTTGGCACAATTGTATAGCAAGGTAAAATCCTCATTGACACTTACATTCAATGAAGTTTATTTTTGGTGCGATTCTACTGTGGTTCTTGCATGGCTAAGATGTTCACCTAACTTCAAGTTTTTGTTGGAAATCGGGTCTCTAATATACAAAGTCTGACTCCAGTTGAT